AAAAAAAAATTATTGTGAAATTAATTCAATTAAAAATATAAATTGCATAACCAAATTTCATCCTTTAAACCATATCGAACAATAATAAATTTAAGAGGAATAAAAACTAAAATATTAAGCAAATTAATAATATAAAAAAGTAATGAAAAAAAAAGTTGACTTCCGAGCAATTTATCTCAAAAAATGAGTTTAATCTGGAAAAAGGGGAAAAAATTATTATACGCTATAATACTATTAAGGTTAACGAAAATGATATTAAGATATTAATCACAAATAAAATTAGAATTTTCCTCAAAAACATTTTTTTTTTGTGACTTTAATATATAATCTGCAAAAAAACAAAATAATTAGATATATTAATTAGTATATACTTATGCATCTTACTAAAATAACTAGATGATTAATACAAAAGAATAAAGAACAAACCTTAAAATTGATAAAAAAAATATGAAAGAAAGTGGAGGTGGCAGAAGACTACAACCAACTAAAGAAACTGAGAAAGGTTGCAAGATTTAATAAAGGAAAGTAGCCATTTAACTATTTAACCATGCAATTAATTATTAAGAGCTAGAAAGGAAGAGGAAGAAAGATAAAGGAAAATGAAAAGTAAAAAGAAAAAGATAGTGAGAAACAAAATTGGGGCGCCATGTTTGAGAATGAATTGAAAAAGGAAGGGAGATGTAGGAGAAGCTTTGAGAAGAAGTGACATGATTGTAAAGGTTGTTGGTTATGTAACATAATCGACATTCATATTGTCGGTTATATTTATATAACCGACATCCTCTTGGTAGTTGGTTATATTGATACAACCAACATCTTATTGGCAGTCGGTTATATGTTAACCCCTTTGCCTTGCCAATTGATTTCTCAGACCTAACCTACATAGACCTCATGCAAACATGGCCAGTGGGAGAAATTGATTTCTCAGACCCCTCACCTACATCGGCCTCAAACACCAAGGCAATAAACTAGATTATTGGCCAACACAACCCTATATAAATTGATAGTAATTTGCCATTAATGTCTAATATTTTTAATTAATATTATATATTGATTAATATAAACTAAAATATTATACATTTAAAATTAATTAAATCATCATATATACAATATAACATCCTTAGAAGGCTTAATACAACATTCATGATGAGTCAAAAGTAGCTAAACTACCTTTTTCCTTTTAAATATGGGCATCCAAACCACCTATATCAACATAAGACTCCAGTGGAGTCTTTCAACCTTCATTACGGACACCATTGGATCCACTTCATCTTGCAAAATCCCAACAAACAGGGAGAACCTAAGAAGAGAAAATAAACAATATCGAGCATAAATATCTATTTACATAAATATCTATTTAAATAAATATAATGCAATGAAATTAACAAATCTTAAATTTAACGAAGAAATCCTATGGTTTAATGGAAAACTATAAACAATGTTATCTTTCCATATTTTCTAAACACCAAATTGATTCTAATTCTCCACCTACAATTGCCAGAGTCACCAAGATTAATTCAATTTCAGTTTGTAAAGATTAATTAATTCTCTTCTACATCTTACCTAAGTAGGTGGTGATAAATGATCAAATCTAGACCCACTAGCCTCTGAAGGACCGCCAACCTGTGAAGGAGCAACAGTCTGTGACAGCGGAAGTCCGATAGATGCATACTGCTGGCTAAGTAATGCAATATGCTCTTGAATTCTCCTATCAAATGCAACCTCCATTTCTGAAACTCTCTGTGATACCTTTGACTGAATACGTGCAGTCTCTAATTGTACTCGCTTTGCCATTTCTTGCCTAACTTGTGCAACCTTAGTCTGCAACCGATGGACTTGCGTCATAAGCATCCTGGTGGTAGAGGACGAGGCCTCACTAAGCTCATATCGTCGCCACGGTATGCCATGCTCTGCTGGGTCCTGAAGTGTGTACAACCCTCTCATTTGACCCTTTTTAGTGGGTTCGACCACATCCTTGCAAATTTCTGGATCCCACCTGTCATAACTCAAAATTTTTAAAAAAGATTTTATTTTATGTTAGTTTTTATCTTAATTAAACTATTCGATTTTACTTTCATTTTTAGGTTTGCAAGCAAAAGGAAATTTCACGAAAAAGTTGGAGAAGAAGAAACAAGGGACTCAATTGAAGAAATCAAAAGTTTGGGGATGAAATCCTTTAAGCTATAAATCTAGTCCATTTCTCAAACCCAAACCCAAAACCCATCAAACCCAAAGCCCACTCCAAAACTCAAACCAAACCCAACACCGACCCATTTTGATTTAAAGTCTCAGACCCAAAAGCCCAAAAACCCAAA